TCGGCCCATGGTCACACAGATATCTCCTTCACCGGCGAGCCTCAATTACCGGTACCTTTTACGATCAAGACACGACGAGACGTCCTAACCCTTATATCTGCTTCCGTACGATCCAGATTGAACCGGATCAACTACGTCGTCGAAGTTAGTTGAGAAGTTGACATTATTTTCATCGACAAGTTTCTCATTATTTTTTACAAAGTTTAACATAGATGGATGATCACTACTCTCCTCATTTTAAAGCCCTTTCGATCCCACTTCTGATGTAGGAGGGCGTTATAAGAACAGGAGGGCCTTCATGGGAACTCATACTTTGAAAGGGATAAAGTACAGTCTATTCAATACGACACCAACTCAATCGAAACACTAGATATCACTATCACTTCGATACACAGCGATTCGTCACGAGCGCGGTGCGCGGGCGTCATCTCGCACGATACTCCATCATAAAGATGGCCGCCCTCGCTACCATCACAATGACGCTTCACTAGGCTAACCTCAGACAGCTAAAAGTCAACCTGACGTATGATTTTTGACGGATGCGCCGTCAAATATATACAACCTGACACTACATTAACAAACCAGTTAGAACTCAAACGAAAATACGTTTACACGTAAAAATATTCCGTTTAGAAATATTCTAAATTGATAAAAATTAAACTTACCGATATAAAAAATTACTATCACAGTTAAAAGATCACAATACCAACAAGTGTGGTTACTTCCTCAATTACTGAGTGTACACTGACCAATATTTGTAACAGGGTTGACTAAATCAGCTCGCCATCGGGTAGCTTTGGGGGTTTCATTACATTTCTCTTTTGTTTCATTACCAGGTACATCCTTAATTCTTATTGCCCTCTATTGTTTTTAATTCTTCCAAATATAGATAAGACTACGAAGAAAATTCATTCACTAGTAACTAGTTAATCCGTTTATTGGACTAATCAGCTTTCATGAGTTATTCTTATTGTTCTTTCTTATTCTTAAAAATATATTTTAAAATACCAGAAATTGTTTTGTTTATTTTTTGAAACAATTAGGTGAGTCTGCCGTTATTATTTCGGTGTATTCTTAACAATGTTGTTCAGTCGTTGGGTTTAAAATTTTAACTGACTTCAAAATACCTATGTTTTTAAATACCGTCATTACATTATTAAGGGGAAATTATTTATATAGGTGATATATATAATTATTGTTTGCAAGCTTCACTAATAAATTTTATAGGTGATTTAGCTTTCGACCGTTTTCATTACAGTCTAACTTAAAGAATAATTTATAGATTATAAATAATTAGATCATATTAAAAACCAAAATAACTTCGTACAAATCTTTTTTCAAATCTGATAGTGACTTACAAACATATTTTTATTTTATTATAGAACTCGTATTTAATTGGAAATAAGATCAGTCCAAATATTAACTTGATGGTATTCAGTCGTGCAATAGAGTTATCTATCACCATCCATATGAGGTCTACTGCCGGACATAGGCCTTCCTCATCGACTTCCAAGCACTACGGTCGGAGGCAGCCTGCATCCACCGGCAACCAGCGGCCTTGACTAAGTCGTCCGTCCATCTCGTTGATGGACGGACGACGCTGCTCTTACAGATGCGTTGTTTCCACTCGATAACTTTTCGGCCCCAACGGGAATCTGTTCTCCTGACTATATGGCCTGCCCATTGCCACTTCAAAGAGCTAATCAATGTAGCTATGTCGGTGACTCTCATTCTGCTACGTATCTCCTCATTTCTGATTTTACATTTGGCCTCGTCTTATTTTACTGCATTTGATCACAACACAGTTTTGCCAATTTTTTAATCAGGAGTTTGCTAATTACAGTGTCATTTCTTTTATTTTTCAATTATAAGAAACATAGTATAAAATATACTTAGTTGTGATAATATTTAATGAATGGAACTTAGATTATATTTTTTTAAAAAACACTTTTTTTTTAATTCTATTTATTTATTTGTAAAACATTAAATATTTGGTTTTAAATCAGATCACCGAATATTACAGGAAAACATATAACGTCACGTGTCAACGGGTGGCGCGAACCTGGCGAATCCGTTCGATCATCCGAGCTAGTCTGCAAAAGCGAGAAGCGTATGAATACAATTACATTACTTTGTTTCTTAATATCGATCCAATTAAAATAGTTTTAATATTTAATTGTGAAAATCCCCAATACAACATCTAAAGGTCGAATTGCATCTTCAAAAGCGAGATTAACAAATTAATGGTTAAACGTAGTTCAATTAAAGTTTTGTCAGAATTTTGTCCAAATGGCTGATCTTCCTCCACAGAGACTTACTCCTAATTTTCCTTTTTTATATTTCGGTCTAGACTTTGCTGGGCCATTCTTTGTATAAAATCGTAAGGGTCGCGATGCTAAATTAATAAAGTGTTATTTATGAATATATTTACTTCATATGTCTACGCTATAAGCGTATATGTTCACCCCTGTGTTCCGGGCTGGGGTCGGCGTGGTCACCCGGCTCTATTGAAAGTCCGGCGTCGTCGGGGTGGTCCTAATTGCCGGGATCGCCCCCATTCTCCGAGGGAGTAAGTCCGGTCTTTGCCAGGACCGGCCAGTCGCTGGTGTGCCCTGTCGCTGACAGATCCGGGGTACACCGACATAGCGGCCGATGGCTTTCGCAGTGGTTTTAGTGAGTAGGGGCCTGCCCAGGCCGAGCCTCACACATCCCTTCTGGCCCCACCAAGGTCGGTTGGACGTCTCGTAAAAAGAGTTTCCACTACGTCATCAAAAAAAAAAAAAATAAGCGTATATGTTATGGGCCAAGTGGTTAATCAGGCATTATTCATAATGCCCGAGCCATATTAATAATGCCTTATGAGAGCGGGAAATGTGAATAATCACATTGCCCGCTCTCATCGGGTTCATCATGGTTATAAAACCAATCAATTTATCATATTGCCCGGGAATTATGAATGAAATGCCTATTGGGTAGAGTGATTTAAAGCATGTTTAAAATATTCAAATGCGTACTTAGATAAATCGATCATTACAAGTAATGAAATCAATTATTGAGTAGATTAATAATAAAAAGATGTTTTATAGCTTGGTATTTATTTTTAAAATTTCAATAATCAGACTTCGGTTTAATTTCGATTAATTTACGAAGGGATACATTTAGAAACTAGAGTCTATAGTAATTTTTATGCAGTTTGGAAGTAGGTATTTCGCATTCGCTTTCACTCACATATATGTAGGTAGAAATGGGAGTAAGTGCCTTTCCAAGCTTCAGCGCGGAATGAGAATACTTCTTGGCGTGAGTAAGTTCAATTATAAAACTAAAAATTTAAATGGAATTTATTTATTATTTATTTAGGTTCGCTAGCAATTTTTACACAATGAATAATTAAATAAAGTTACATACAAATTAATCTTCTATATACAACGTGTAACGTAATTAACGCACACCCTCAAATACCCCAATGCGTATATAATAATGCGTGTATAATATTTTCTAAGGAATAAGGGTTATTTAATGAATACTCTATTACTTTTGAAATAATTTGGTTAATAAAGTAGATTTAGAGTATTTAGAGTATTACTCATTAGAAATTTACTTAATGATGATGATTTGTATAAAAACAAAATGTTGCAATACATAGAGAAATTATTTGAACATTTAAGAGAAATATTTGAACACTCCAGTTAATAAAACGTACTAACAAATAATAGCCTTAGGTATTAAGGGTTATTGAATGAAACACGATTGACAAGATCTTGAATTTTAATTATGTTTAAACATCACATATTAATATACACAATTACAAGATTTTCTGATATAATATAAAAAACATTAAACGCTAACTCTCGTCCTTAATGCCGACTTATTTACTTTTTCTTTTTACGGCTCTGGATATGGGTTTTTTTGAGTTTCAACGCTTGAGACTGACACAGAGGTTGCCAGCGGTAAAGTTATGTAACTAACATGCCGTCTTATGTATTTACCGCGCAGAGGGTCCTTATATATGTAAACAAAAACACATGCTTGTCAAAAAATATAATATTACGCGAAGTCTTCCTTATAGAGATGACGATGAAACGAGAAAATTTATTATTTTTATCGTCAACAATGAAATGTGTATTCAAGGCGTTTTCGTTATTAAATAATAAAAGTAACAGAAGTTTAACAATCCCCTGTTTACATAAAATATATTTCATTAATGGCACTTATTATTAATTACCTAACTAATATTTTTAATTATCTTATGTATACGTTTGTTTTTTTTTCTAATTAAAATAAAGTCTTCTTATTCATCATCTGGGCCGATATTTTCTTTTTGGTGAATTTTCACTTCTTTTTGTTTTGTTCGTATGTTCTGAATATTTTGCTTTCGTCCTCACATTTTGTTGTGATACTGGTCCTTAAGTTTCAATAGAACTTTTTAGTTTAATTCTTTATCACAGTATTCCTTATGAAAATCTTAAATTATTATTTAATATATGAAAACCTATCACATATTCTTATTATACATTTCAACATTTTCTGGGCTGCGACATTTTTCTACCACCGTCATGTCATTTTTTCACAATGTCGTTTGGTAACATTGGATCAAGCCGTCGACATATTATACTAATGGACAAGCTGTACGCGTATAATCTACAGTAATTTTTTGGTTTGAAAAAAGTGAGAGAGATGGCCTAAGTATGTTTTCGGTCTAGCACTATCTCTTTCCTCATAGATGATTGGCGCTCAATTCTCATGACAAGCACGGCTTATAAATTTATTGATTAAAATAATTAATTTAACCGTATAATTCATACGTCATTAATACTAAAACTGCTAAAAATCAGAGAAAGTGAGGTTAAACGTAAAGCTGTATATGACATTAGGAAATAATACATTATCCAGAAGGGGCTCATAACGTCTTAAGTACGGTACTATTTTGAGAGCGATAAAGATAGACCGAAACTTCGTTTTCTCTCTTTCTTTCGGAATGCCACAATTCTCATCTCTAAGACATGGCCATTAGTATATGTCGATAGATTAAGCTTCTTTTTAGCTGGTTTGTCTGGAAATGCTGGCGAAGTTTTTCCAGTTAAAGAGTGGGTTGCCAGTATTCTGAAAATATAACGATTATTTACTTATGATACTGGACAAATTTTTTCCACTATGAAGTTAAAGTTTTCTACAGACTTACTCAAAAAAAATAGCAGTTAGTAGTTTTCTTGTAGCGTTTGTGTATGAAGTCCAATCAATGTGCTTAAGAAGCCTAGCCGGGACCACAACATTTCCATCACCAATAGCCACCTATAAATTGGGGAGTATTACAGCTTATACAACAAGAACATTGACAATATAATTAATACAAAATAATTTTGTTTACCGTCTCGTTATTAGTTTTAACATTATTTTTTGGTTTCAAAACTTTTATTCGCTTTACATTTTTCGCTGTAGTATCATCATCATCTTTATTAAATGTAGAATCGTAATCTCTCATCGAACTCTGAAAGGATATGTTATTTAGAATGTTTGAATGATGAAAACGGCTATTTATATTTTATATCTTTTATAATTTTACTTACCAAGTCCGTGGTGACTGCCAAATTTCTTTTTCGCTTATGCGATCGCCTCCTTTGCTGTGGTCTGAAGTCATCACTCGAATAATCTGTAATTCGTTCTAATGAGTCCATAACTGAGGAAATCTCTGGCTCTTTTGTTTTAAGTTTCGCTTCCAGTACCTCGATTTTGGAATGTAATTCCTGAATTACTTTTTCCATTTTTTCTTTTTGAGGTACATTCACTTCGACAACCGTTTGGGCTGCCACATCGTATGTTATTTTTTTCTTGAGGACTGGACTGGACTTTCAGTTTGTCCTTCCTGGCGACACCTTCATCGATTTTGGTTCAGCGGTTGTCTTAGCGTTAGGGCTAGTTCTCGGTAAATGCCAACTCTGACATTCATGAGATATTTTTTATTACAGTATAATAACTACTAATAATCTTGGAAGTTATGACACTGTTAAAAATTATTGTAATATGAACAGACTCATCCATATTGGCCATCGGTCGGGCAATAACTCTCTCTAAAATAGATCTGATTTGGGCTCGGAAACTGGTCCTGAAATTTCAAAAGAACTTTATGGTTGAACTCTTTATCACAATATTCCTATGTAAAAATCTTAAATAGTTATCTAATATAGGAAAATCTGTCACATATTCTTATTTTACCTGACAACATTTTCGAAGACGCTACATTTTTCTACGACCGACTGCAAAATGTCATTTACTAACATTGGATCTAGCTTCTTTTAAGTCGGTTTGTTTGGAAAAGCTGGTGAAGGTATTCCAATTAAAAAGTGGGTTGCCAGTACTCTGAAAATATAATGATTGTTTACTTATAACACTGGAACGAATTTTTCCAATATGAAATTCACGTTTTCTACTCACTTTCTCGAAAATACAGCAGAGAGTACTTTTCTTGTAGCGTTTGTGTATGAAGCCCACTCCATATGTTAGAGACGCCTGGCTGAAACCACAGCGTTTCCATCATCACTAGCCACACTCCTCCTTAATGCTGAAACAACAACATTTACTATTTATATCGGCAACACTGAAGTGACACTCAAACAAAAACAACAGTATCATAAATAAAAAAATAATGAAAGTAACAGAAGTTTAACACTCTTATGTTAACTTTAAGTTAATTCTTTAATGACAGTTATTAATTACCTGAGTAATAATTTTAATTATCTTATGATTATGTATGCGTTTTTTTTCTAATTAGATTAAAAAGATCCTTCTGATTCATCATCAGGGGTGATGTTTTCTTTTTTTGAGGTGTTTTTTTTCTTTTTATTTTCTCGTGTGCGGAACATTTTACTTTCGTCCGCACACTTTGTTGTGATACTGGTCCTGAAATTTCAAAAGAGATTTTTAGTTAAAGTCTTTATTCCAATATTCTTTTATGAAAATCCTACATACTTTTTCGATACAGGAAAATATATTATTTTCATACCTGACCACTTTTTCGGGGACGCAACATTTTTCTACGACCGTCTGCACAATGTCATTTACTAACTTTGGATCTAGCTTCTTTTTTGCAGGTTTGTCTGGAAATGCTGGTGAAGGTTTTCCAGTTAATGAGTGGGTCGCCAGTACTCTGAAAATATAATGATTATTTACTTATTATTGATTTAAGATCACTTATAATGATTACTTATGATACTGGAAAAAAAAATCAACTATGAAGTTAAAGTTTTCTACTGACTTTCTCGAAAATACAGCAGTTAGTAGTTTCCTTGTTGCATTTGTGTATGAAGTCCAATCCATATTCTTAAGAAGCCTGGCTGGGACCACAGCGTTTCCGTCTCCAATAGGCACCTAGACATTAAGGAGCATTACAGCATATTTATATAACAATAACACTGATAATATAAACAATACAAAAGAACTTATTTTACCTTGTCTTTATTATTTTTAACAGTATTTTTCGGCGTCAAAGCTTTTATTCGCTTTACATCGTTCTCTATAGTATCTTCATCTTTATTAAATGTAGAATCGTAATCTCCAATTGAACTCTGAAAAGATAGGTCAAGTTGAAAGTTTTTATGTTAAAAATATACCACTTATATCTTTAATAATTTTACTTACGAAGTCTGTGGTGACTGTCAAATTTCTTTTTCGCTTATGCGATCGCCTCCTCTGCTGTGGTCTGAAGTCATCACTCGAATAATCTGTTATTCGTTCTAATGAGTCCGTAACTGAGGGAGTCTCTTGCTCTTTGGTTTTGAGTTTTGCTTCCAGTTCTTCGATTTTGGCACATAATTCCTTAATAACATTTCTCATTTTTTCTATTTCAGATTCGTTATCTTCGTCGATATTCGTTTGGGTTGCTATATCGTATGTTGATATTTTCTTGGGTGCTGGACTGGTTTTTCGACTTTTCCTTCCTGGCGACACCTTCCACGATTTTCGCTCAGCGCTTGTTCTAGGGTTAGGGCTAGTACTCGGTGAATGCGAATTCTGAAATTCATGAGATGTTTATTTTTACAATCAAAAATATGTAGTCTTTTTCTATAAATATAATAACTAATAATAATCCTACTACCTTGGAAGTTATGCAACCGTTAAAAATTGTTGCAATATGAACTTGCCCATCCATATTGGCCATAGGGTGGGAATTGACTCTCTCTGAAATTTATAAAATCCATAATGAAAACACATATTTCAACAACACGTACAAATTTAATGGAGTAGATATGTAATAATGAATGAATGAACTAGATTTCTGTTTATCTAGTATTGGGAAAATATATTTACCATAATTATTCCTGTGTAATTCCAATAAAGCCAGAGCCGCATCCATTTCAGATGTTATCATCACAGTAGTCATTATTAACTGAAAAAAATATTTAAAAATAGACACGAAGTTAGACAAAAGTAGTACATATGAAAATACCAAGACTTTGTTGCAAGTTGCAGGTACAAAGTAAAGGTTTCCTTAGTCTAGATGTACACAACGTTAACAGTAATATTCTTTACGTATTCTTGTTGTTGGGTGGAGTCTACCATCCATAGAACTATTATTTACTTATTATTTAATTGTTATTGAGGAGTGCTTGAATATTTTATATTTAATACATTAGTTATAGCTATTTTTAACCCTTGTTATTAAAAAAATTCTCTAATCCTGAATAATATAGGTACATTAAATTAAAATTGAAATGAATATCAGTGTTCCGCATACTACGCGTATTTAAGATGTCTTAGATGCTATATACGTTATACGTTAAAATTTATAATATAGAAATAAAGCTCCCTTCCATTTAAATAAACACACGCGAAAATCTTGAATATCAATACATAATAAGACTAAAAGAATGGTTTGTTTTAATATTATTAAGTCATCGCGTCTCTCTGCTTTCTACCAATATAATAAAATTTCATTTATTAATGTAAATTATTTAAACCTTGGAATGAATTTTTATGCCAAAATTGAACATAAAATTTGACAAAATATATTTTTGTTATTTAAAATCACTTATACCTACCTGACATTACATTAACAAACAAGTTAGAACTAAAACGAATACGTTTACACTTTTAAAATATTCCATACAGAAATATTCTAAATTGTTAAAAATAAGACTTACCGATATAAAAAAATTACTCTCACAGTTAGTATATCAGAATAACACAAGTGTGGTTACTTCCTCAATTACTGAGTGTACACTGACCAATATTTGTAACAGGGTTGACTAAGTCACCTCGCCATCGGGTAGCTTTGGGGGTTTCACTATATTATTCTTTTGTTTCATTATCAGGTACATCCTTAATTCTTATTGCCTTCTATTGTTTTCAGTTCTTTCAAATACGATTTCAAATACAATACGACTACGAAGAAAATTCATTCACTAGAAACTAATTTATCCATTTATTGAACTAATTAGCTTTGAAGAGTAATTCTTATAGGGATTAAAAATATATTTTATTTTTAAAATAACAGGAATCTTTTTGTTTGTATTTTGAAATAATCAGGTAAGAAACTTAACGCATACACATAACAGGTATTAAGAATGATGTTATATTAAAAATCAAAATTACTACGTTCAAATCTTTTTGTAATCTGATATTGACTTACAAACCTTTTATTATTTTAGAATTCATATTTAATTGGAAATGAGAGTCCCTTTACTAACTTACTTAATGATTGTCAGTTAATGAAGATTTATAAAGACGAAAATTAAAAAGTCCTTTTAGACAAGCAAATCTTTTCAGTTTCAAAAGATTATAATATTTAAAGTGAAAATAATTGCAGTTATTTACTTAATATTGAAGAATTTTCACAAATATTATGATCGTTTTTTTAAAGTTTTGTAATACCGGATAACAATTTATTACTATTTTTATGTTATATAATCTATACCAAATTATTATATCGGAAAAATATACTATGTCATTATTTTATAAAACAAAAGTTTGAGTTTGAAATTTCATTTCACATAACTACATAATATGTAGGAAAAGTAAGAAAAATTAAATTATTTGTACCGCTGCATTTTCATTTTACCACATGTACATATATACATTTATACATTACATTATTATTATATATATATACACATTTATAATCCTAGGTATACCTAGTACTTTGTATTTTAAGTAATAAAATATAATGGATGTTTAAAACTGTATGTTGTTAAATGTATTCAATAGGATTTATCTATTACTAAAAGGAAAAGTCACGAGTGACCATCTACATATATCCAATCCATTTTTGATTATATGTTGAATTAATAACTCTTTTTAAAATAGTTTGAAAAGTACATTTTGTCATAAAAAAAATAAAATCCTATATAAAAGTTTTGATATTTATTTAAATTCCTTTGTATTTTTATCACGAAAAGGTAAAACTTCTGAAAATTTTATAACCATAATTCGTTCAAGAAGAATTTCTAATTTATGAGTTTTTTACTTTTTAAACATTCATACAAATAATAAACTCATATCTGTTTACTCCATTAGAATTCGTTTTTTTCAGGAAATTAGCCAATTAGTGGCCGGGATACTATTTCTTACCTACACCTATTTCGGGAACTTTTCCGTTGCACTCATAATATACAGAAGTATTTATAAATCGGACTTCTTTTCACAATGCGTTAAAAAATACAGCTGATTATAAACATATGTTCATTATTACATTTGAGTGAAGAAAAATTTTCAATGGTTAGAATTCTAGAAAATGATTAAGTTTATAACTTTCAATGTAATTGTAAAATTAGTAATGTTTCTTAAAATTCAAACGACTTCCAACGGCTTAGAGCCGCTAAAAGATTATTACAGGATCATTGTTCCATATTCTTTTGTTAGTTTATTGTTAGGGGAAAGTTGTCGGGTACTCGCAAGTCCCCAGTCCTTGTCTATTGTAGATAATATTTCTACCTGCGAATAGCAATGTGTAATGCATTCCTCAGTCGGCTTGTGTTTATCGGGCAGTTCAGAATAACCGTTATAAAATATGGATCCTAAACTTTGGTTGCTTGTAGAATATGTCGAAGATAAAAGTGCGTTTTCTAATTATGGCGTTATTAATACTAATAATATCATCCAACACGATACCGATCTTAACAATGGGAATATTATTTTCGTCAGAGATAAAAACAACGGAGCACGCAAGGCCCAAGTACTTAGGATATCTGGTATGGTGGATTTTCTATTCATTCATTTTAATTATTTGTGTTTTTTCATCTCTAATTTTGTCTATTCGTACATACATTATAAATCCAATAATTTTACTACAGTTACCCTCCATTTAAAACGTGAGCATGCAATTTCTTACTTTCTAAGATATTCGATAGTAACAATCACGTGGCACCTTATGATATGAAGAAAAAAGTGCATTTTGCAATTATAGTGATACTCATATATATTAATTGATTGATAATAATGTTTCTCTTTGTTTTCTATCTCATAGAAAGCAAACGATACGTAAAGGATCTCAAAATAATGTTGGAGAGACAAGACAATCAAGTGAAGAATGTCGTTACTTTGTGCATGAATACCATCAAAGAAATGAAGACTGGCCAACTGGTAAGGTGAAACTTGTAAATTCATTCGCATTTTTAGTTTCATTTCTAAACGAGAACTCGACAAAACTATTTAATTTAAACGCATGTTTAAACCGTGTTGTCGGTGGAAGAATAAAATAAGATTATAGATAATTCTAGATTTAAATCCCTCACGATATGTTTGACATCGATGTATGTACAATAAATCAATTAATTTATCTACTAACTACAATCACATTTAAACATTACGAGTAATCTGAAAGGGAATGATGTCATATTCGTAGAACTTGTAGCTGACTTGTCGGTGCCTTATTTATTTGTTAAAATGTCGGTACCACGTGATAATTGTGGATTTGTGTTAAATACAAAAATGTTTTCATTTTCAGTTATTAGACCCTCAGGAAGGACGATCCTTGAATGCCTTAAATAGAACTTGCAAGCTTCCAGAAGAAGTTGAAACGAGTTCAAGTGATAGCGATAGTGATGAAGAGGTAAATCAACACAAAATAGAAACATTTAAAAACAATGATTTAAAATCCTACAGATATAGATGTAGGTGTACTGATTTCGATATTTATATCTTATTAAAAGTTCAAATAACATTGGTGTATTTGAAATTCTCCTGCTCCATTAAAGACGGGTGTGACAGTTCTAGATGTAAAAGTTTCGGTTTAACTATTTGTTTTATTTTATTTTTCAGATCCATCACAATCTTAATCTTACTAAATCCATGACAAAACACCACTATCAATCTAAAAGACCAGATTCGATGCCCAGTGGACAAATAAGTCGACTTTTAAATGACAAGACTATTTTCCATAGTCGCAAGCCGTTAAAAAGCAGCACTCCTTTACCGGAAAAACCTTTTAATGATGCTATTAAACTTACTTTCGACCAAGGAACGCAAACAGACCCAGAACAACATCCAAGCGAGAAGATAGAAGAATTACAAGTAGTCTTAGAACGTCTCTACGGACAATTCCTTGCATTGATTGCTGAAGTTGAACTGAAAGAAAACCAAAGCGCAATAGAAGCGGCCGAGAATAATTTTTCAGAACCGAATGTAATGCAAGACTTTGTTAATACTGACACTCAGTATTTAACTAATGCTGATATTGAATTAGACCAAAATCAAGCAAAAGTACTTCAAGTTCGTAGAGCATCCGCTCAAACAACAAACGCTGGTTTGTCAATGGTTGACTATAATACAGACATGGTTAGTATAAACTTTATTTATGTTTAAAACGACTGATCCCAATATGAAAGGTACATAATATATAGAATATATATAATATTGATTATATCAGGTGTCCATTGGAAGCGGAAATGTTACTGTGCCAGCAAGGTTATGGGCTACTATGGATTGGACGTCTCATACCTCCGCGACGCGACAACTGCTGCAGGCTGTCTTTCCTAGGAGGTAATCATTATTAAATATCATTACTATTATACATACAGAGCATAACACAATAATATTAATTATTTTAGAGTTTTAGCTACCCATTCTCTTACGGGTAAACAGTCACCAGCTTTTGTTGACAGACCACCAAAACAGCGATTAGATCCAAAACTCGTTGACGACATCGTGACCACGGTATCAGAAAGATGTAATGTCCCAAAAAGAATTGTAAGGTACGTGCTTGCGTATTGATTTTAATGGCTACTTTATATTAATGAAATTATTTATATTTTTTGTTGCTTCCAGAAGTTCTATAACAACCAAATGTACTGATGAAGCGAAGCTATACAAAAATCGCTTGCAACAAAGGAAACGTGATCAACGTAATCCGGAAAATGTATCCCCGCAGGCGTCTTCTAACGAGTCGTCTAATGCAAGAGATTAATAGTAACAAACATCATTTGTTTCGTGTTCAATAAATCATCAGAATAAATATATGTATATATTTATTTTTAAACCCCTTATATAACATTGATGGTTACTAAAATGCAATGTTTTTTTTTTAAATTATCTTCCCCTTTGTTTCTATGTGTAAATACTAAGAGAAATTGCAAACTGAATCATGTTAATCACAACATATTATATATTTAATTCATAACCACTTCTTCAGAAGTTTGATAAAAAAAATCAATAATATTATTAGGCTCTTCGTATGTAAATTTTATGCTTTTTCAATATTACTCCTTTATTAAGATCGGTTACATTTAATCAAATATGAACTGAAATATCATACAAAAAGTAGCAAAAGCGAATACAGCGAATAATAGACACTTAAAAAATTTATATAATTGAAGATAATTAATTGAAGTAGCTAATTAGAGTTAACCTTTGTGACAATATATAAAAAACTTTTTTCAATTTCAACTAGTAACTTTGGTTCAATAACTTCAAAATTAAAATTGTTTCTTTAAATTTTATACTAACCGTCTATTTTAGCTATAGATATAAGTTTATTTTCAAAAGAATCTATTTGTTTTAAAATTTATGATAAATTCAATCTTAACTAATTTGTAAAAGGAAATAAAACAAATTTAGTTATTTGGAGAATAAGAGCAATCTCAAAACAGTTTTTATTTTTAATCAAAGACAATTATTTCTTTATAAATATTATTATAATGACACTTTTTCAAAGATCTTTCTCATAATCGATATCATTCATAATGATTTTTAAATTAATAAAAACAAATTTTCAACGATTAATAAGAAATTTATATTTTAAGCAGACAATAAAACTATCAATCTTTAACTCGAGCCGCAGGCAACCTGTGGTTTATTGGACCATTATGTGTAATGTCAAATAGACACCTTATTTGTCGAAATGACATAAAGCATTGAAGTTGTATTTTAGCTGTCATGAAAAACCTATAATTTGCAGGCATGTGTTTAAGGTTATAAATGCAAAGAATAATAATTACATTATCCTATTAAATAAATTAAATTTTGTTAACAGTCTAAATAAAATTAAACGATGGACCCCGAAGATTATGAGTATGTCGCAGAGGAACATGATCGATTGATTAGTGCTATAAGTAAATTAGACAAAACCCAGCATATAACTGAGCCTACAAGGAATGAACCGACAAATTTGAACTCTGAATTCAATCTAATCAAACCATCTAAAAAACTGAAATTGGACAATGTATTAAAAGTGTTAGAAGACAATTCACATAATGTCAAAATAAGTAAGAAACTTAAATTTAGTCAAAATAAATCGAAAGTTCTGCCGAAGCCACTAGAAAAACCTCAAGCAGAACGCATTAAAAGGGCTGCTGGGTATGAGGAAACTAAAAAGAAAATTGGAAGGTGGGATCCAGTTATTGCAAGAAATAGAACTGTTGATTTTGTATCTTTTCCTCTTAAAACTCGTCCTGTCAAGAAAGATACGCCTACCAACATATTTCTGTCCAAACTGAAATTGAAATCACCTTTAGAGTTGGAATTAGAAGAAGTGGATCCTACACCTGTAGTAGAACCAGAAGTTGAAGAAGAAGAGCTTTATCCCATGAGTTATGAAGAAATGGTTGAACACAGACAGCATCTCGCCAAGTTTAGAGCTCAACAGTCTTATAGGGCTGCTAAGGCTAAGAGACAAAGCAAAATTAAAAGTAAAAAATATCATCGGTGAGTGTATAAAATATTATCCTATACTACACTTTGATAACATGTTATCAATTATAATTCATTATTTTCAGTATACTCAAGAAAGAAAAATTAAAACAACAGTTAAAGGAATTTGAAGAATTACAAGCAACTAACCCAGAAGAGGCATTGAAGAAACTCGAGGAATTAGAAAAAGCACGAGCTTTAGAGAGACATACCTTGAGACATAAAAATACTGGAAAATGGGCTAAGAACAAATTAGTCAGAGCAAAATATGATAAAGAGGTAAAACTGACTAAGAATCACATTATTATAATGAAAAGTAGTTTTTCAATATATGTTGAAAATAATATTTTTGTTATGGCCATCAATATAGACATGTAATGTTTAGGTTGTAGCTATGTTTATCTAATATATGTATTGTTACTTTATTGTAATATCCATTGTTTTGTTATAGGTGAGACAGCAATTAGCTGAACAATTATCTGTAAGCAGAGGTCTTACACAGAAAACACAAAACATTGAAAGTTCAGACGACGAGCCAGATGAAAGTGAAAACATCTGTGACATTCAAATATCACAGGATCCAATGAATCCATGGATGTTGAAGAAATCCGACAAGAGTAACATAGACGCTGAATTCAATTTCGGCTATAAAAAATATTTAAAAGACAAAATGTATAAACGCAAGGAGCAAAGTGACTCGGAGGAAGATGAAGTAGACCAAAATAAAGACGATGATATGAGCTCTTTGAAAACGTTGACAGAGAGTTTGAAAAAATTAAATGAAAATGAGAGTACAGCTGTGATTGAAAGCAAAACTCAAGAAGATGACACTTTAATGGATTCAATCAGTGAAGAAAAGAAATCCCTAACTGTTCAGAATAAAAAGAATACACAGAAAGAGAAAAGTAATAATACTAGAAGAAAAAACAAAAGGAAGATCGTCTCAACCTCAGAATGGGTTGTGGAAGAAATAAATCCTAAAAATGCAACAACTGAAGAAGAATTAAATAGTGCATTTGATGATTATGAAGATAAAGTGGCATTAAAGGTCGCTAAAAAACTCAAGGGATTGAAACATGAGTTAAAAAATTTAGAAACAGTATCTAACAAACCAAATAAAAAGAAAAATGAGAGTAGTAAAGAAGTTGACAACCTTGAATATTTAAAACTTAAAAAGCAGAAGCAGATGCCTATAATTGATGAACCTCTTATAGAATCAAATAAAAATGTTGATGAAATACCAGAGCCGACAAAACCCTTATTAGAGACACTAAAAGATACAGTACCGAGTACAACAGAAAATGTAAACACAGATATTGACCCAAACAGATTTATTGAAGTTAAACCTAAGTATTTGAATACAGCAGTTACAAATTCTGAGAATAATTATGATGACTTAGATGATGAAGAACAAGTGGTACCAAAAGTGGATATTGAAGAAGTTTTTGAAGAAGACGATGTGGTGACTAGTTTCAGACAAGAGAAAGAGGACGAAATTAATAAGAATAACCCAGAAGAACTAAGTTTAACACTCCCAGGATGGGGTGGCTGGGCCGGTAAAGGTATAAAAGCACCTAAACGAAAGAAAAATAGATTTATCACAAAGAAACCACCAAAAACACTCAGACGAGATGAAAATAAAGGTGATGTAATTATAAACGAGTCCAAAAATCCCAAGCTTGCTATACATAAAGTTTCAGATTTACCACATCCATTCAATAGCGTGAAAGAATATGAGGAAAGTATAAGAACGCCTCTGGGTAACACCTTTGTGCCGGAAACAGCTCATAGGAAACTTATTAAACCAAATGTTATCACAAGATCTGGAACAATCATTGAACCAATGGATGAAGAAGAACTGCTTGTGCCAAGAAATCGTAACTTTAATAATAAGTCTGTTATTAAGATTTTAGGCAAGCAATAAAACAAAAATTCATGATTTCTTATTGTAATATTTATTTTTATGTTAAACCCCAACTCTAACTGGAGGGGACACTAGTATGACTCCATCGCCTCTTACAAATAACATTGGAATATTTCTCTTATTTGTCCTATAAACCTCTTCATATGTTTCTTCATCAATTTCAACTGTCGTTATTGTTTCCTCTGCATCTCCCAATACCATATTCAAATGTTGATCATAGGCCTAAAATCAAATTGACACTTTTTAAACACAACTCAGAAATTATATTGTTATTTGAAATTCTTGGATCTAAAATTCCTTATAAGAAAATTACTTTTAAGTTTAATTGATTTAATTTTTTATCTAAATAAAATTAAGTGTTTTATTCTAAATAATTTTCAGATAGTAGGTAAGTATGACTAAAAAAAGTATAAAATTAAAAAAATATTTAAACTTCTAACATGAAGCTTCCCGCGTAGTTCGCGTTCATTACGCATTTTAACGTAAATTCGCTCATCCAAACTCAACCTAATTAAGTCGAGAGGTTCTTTAACAGTCATCACAGGTACCTGAAATGCAATAAATGTACGGTAAATATACCTTTTTTTTATTGAATAGAATTAATACCATAACAAAAGTAAAGTACTAACATTATCTCCGTCTTCTGCCATTGTGTTTTCTCGTTTTTACTAATACAATATTACTAAGTAGTGTTAGTGATTACAACTGTTTTCTAAGTAGTGGGTATCAATTTAAAAGCCGAATTTTAGGTTATGAACAGTGTTTAGCATTGGTTGACAATCACTACCTATACAATTCTATATTACAAATAGAACAACAGTTTGAGACTTTGAATGTCAAAATTGGCGCTTACAGATGTGCGTTCAGAGATGCTTAGTTTTTTTAATGTTTTATCACGGAATCACCTAAAATAGATAACTTGATAAAAGTATCGACTTATTATATTAAGAATGTAATTGCTCATTAAAATTCTTATTTTAAATATGGATACCTGGAAAAATTCAATTGCTTTAAACTAAATTACTTCTCATATAATCTTAATTACATATCATTATTTTGAAATTATTATTAATATCAAATATATTGAAAAGTTATATATTACAATTTTTATTGCATTATTTTTATTTACATGAAGGGATATTTTTATTTAAGTAAATGTAAGTATGTATTTTTAAATCTTATCTGTGAAAGTGACAACCAAACTTTATGTTGTTCCAAATATATTCTGTTTACTCGTTGTGTTTTAGCATTTTAAGTAATTTATGTTACGAATTGTAACTTGTAATGAGTTTTGCTTACATTTCATTACTTTGACGATATTATAATTATATAATTGTATCAGAAAATATGTCATTGGCCTGTCAACATACAACATAACCTCTATTTGTATTTGTTGAGTTTAATTTTCCAAAACTTGTATAATTATGGTGAGGAGTGGGTAAGTATTTGACTTTAAATATGTTTAAGAATCAATTAGAAGTAAGAAAATAAATTGATTCAACGTTATTTGTAGTCGCGACAGAGAGAGGGATCGTAGACGCTCACATAGCCGTTCGGCAAGTCCAGATCGTAAAAGAAGACGTTCTAGATCTAGAAGTAGAGATAGAAATTCCAAATCCTCTAAGAGGAAGCGTAGCCGCAGCAGAGATAGAGATTCCAAGCGTGATCGCAGTAGGGACAGAGAGAGGGACCGAAAAAGGTATGAGATCGTGAGATTAAAGTAAGATTTACATGATATTCTGATAAGATATAGTGACTCAAGTTGATAATTTGTTATTCTCAGTGATAAACGAGATGATAAGAGAAATGGTTCGAGTAGTAAGTCTAGGAAGAAATCTCCAGATAGGGAAAAAGAAAGAGATCGCTCCAAATCAAAAGAGAAGGCGGTTAAATCTGAATCCGCTGATTATGCTCCTGGTACTGTAGATAAGGTGAGAAAATAACAACAAAACTAAAGATTTTTTTTTTTGTATATTTACATATTTGAGTTTTTGGCTTAGTCTCTGTACCTCTTGGTTATTTTCCTGGACTGAGTGAAAGTCTCTTGTGTTATAGAAGTGTGTAAGGAATAATTTCTTTTAGAAGTTATGTTTGTAGTTGATAGTGAGACTTTTCATTACTTCAATGTTATTATAGTTTCCTAACTACAGGATACATTTTGATATCTATATTTAAATGGGATTAAATTTTCAAAAGCCATGTTATTTTTCCAGTGGATTCTTTAAGGGTAATTAAATTAGATTGTTTGTCTTATTGGCTCAATAATTTTAGAAACTAATTATTTGAATAAAAGTGACTGGTATTTACAAGTTGATACCTCCCATGTAAGTTGTTGTATCTCCAAAACTGTAATTTTACAGTAGAGTGTTTCAAAGATTCAAATTAAGCCAATATCTGCATTTATTGATGCATCTTTTTTAAATTTCGTATTTAAATTTAACATAATAGTCTTCTTAACTATGTTAAAAGATATTTTAATTAAAATGCCTATTTGCGGAGATATTGTTGTTATATTGTTCATACGACATTTTACTCCGGAGTAGAAGCTAAAAAAGGTGTTGTATCTGATACTTACAACATTATACCGCGGCGCTCAGATAGTATCTCTTATGGTATATGATAGTTACAACTGTATACATTGAAAAACATAAGTCTTACTCTGTTGTATGCAACCAATATGCAGCGCGAGCGCGTGATTTTTCCCACCTCGCGCCCCGCGTATACATTTGTAAAAGCATATTCATTAGTTTAATCCGTTCGCGTTTGAAAATTACAACATTATGCTTCTGACAAATCCTTTAAAAATAATGTTTTTGTTGTTTTTTTAATTTGAATGTATGTAATGACCTATAATAGGATATTTTTTTGAAAAAAAAAGCAAAATAGCATTTTTGTGGCTTACAACAACTTACGTGGGAGGTATCGAAGTATATGTATAATAACGTAATGTAATTACATACAATAACAATTTGTCTTATATAATTATATGAGATAAACAATTTAAGCAGCATCTCAAAACAACTGACAAGGTTATATTTAATTTGTCTGTCAACATCTTGTTTAAGAACTCTTACGTCTTTCAGTAATGATTTAGGATCACATTATTTTAGCTTACATATTATGAATAACAATAAATTTGTGGCAATATGTATGTATTGCCAATTACTTAAACAGCTGTGGTGTGAAAATTAATATTAGTCGGGTTCATGGTAGATTCTAGATCTATTTTACGTGTAAAACGTAACTTGTGAGGTTGCTATATTTCATACACAATAATAAGTATTTTTCTTGAATGAAAATTAATTTCTTTTGTCTTAAATAATTCAGGAAGAGGAACAAAGTCGATTGGAAGCAGAAATGCAGAAACGCCGCGAACGTATTGAGCGTTGGAGAGCTGAACGGAAACGTAAAGAATTGGAATCAGCTAAAAAGGAAGTCCAAAAAGGCAGTATCGTGACCAATATACAGGTGCCGGCTGCTAAAAAGTGGTCCTTAGAAGACGATTCCGGAGATGAAGGTAGTATAACATTATCGCAAATTGAGACCTATTGACATTATAATTTTTGGGAGTGTTAATAATATGTTTGTGCTTCGATATTCAGGTGAGGACGGAGAGGCGAAAGAAAAAGCCGTTGCTGAGGAAAAAATTGATGAGGAAGATGAAATTGATCCATTGGATGCCTATATGCAAGAAGTTCAACAGGTCCATATAATAATGATTATAATATTATCGATGAGTCCTATGTATAAGGGCCAATGAAGCAATTTAGCCATTTTCAATTTAATCACTTCATAATACTGTATTCTACAACATTTAAAAAATGCATATTTACTGGTGGAAATACTTAGTTTTTAGTGCCATAAAAGTTCATAAGTAAAACACTTTTTAATGTATAAGGACATAAGTCCTAGTGTATATAAATACATTATTAAAAATACTAGTAGGTTTACAAAAATATTTATCAAGCTTAAATGACATACATGTATGTCATAGTTGCTATCCAAAGTTCCAAAAGGATCAGTTGTCGCATACAAGATACATTGAAACGAAACTTTGAAAGCCTACTGAAAAATTGACATTTTGCACATTGGCCCTTATACATGAACATATTGCTGTGAACGTAATTGCTTCATGTTTGGGTCATATTAACAGGAAGTACGCAAAGTGAATCAACTAGATCAAGCTCGTGGCATCAGTGTTCCCACAACAGGGGGCACAGGAGTTGTCATACTGACTGGAACGGCTAAGAAAAAAGTTACCGAACAGAAAAATAAAGGTTAGTAAAATTATAATTTGAAGAAAATTAGAATTGTGTTCATCTCTTTAAAATATTTTTTATTTTGTATTCTGCATAATAAAAGTACAGTAATACCCCGCTTTACGCGAGGGATACGTTCCGAAGAAAATCGCGTTAACTGAAATTCGCGTATATCGAGGTTTATGATTAAACACAAGCAAAATTTAATACACAAATATAAAAATAATTTTAATCAATCACTTTAATTCTAAGAACACTATACAATACATAGGTTTACTATTTTTTTGCGAAAAAATTTTAGGTTTTGTTTTGTTTACGTTCTTGTAAAATAAGCTCATAACACCCAACACTTTTTAATTGTTTGACACACGGTCAAGGCGCGGTCATCATTATTATCTATACTCTGTAATATGTCCAAATCTGAATAAATTTTTGAAATTCGTGTTATAGTGAAACCGTGCACAACGGGGTCGCGATAAGCGGGGTATTACTGTACAATGAACAATATTTGTCATCAATGTTTTGTTAGATCAATTAACATTGTCATAAAAAATACTTCCCCTAGTCATTAGTACTATTTATAATTTTCAGGTGAACTCATAGAGCAAAATCAAGATGGCTTAGAATATTCCTCGGAGGAAGAGACAGAAGATATAAAGGATGCAGCGGCTAATCTGGCATCTAAACAAAGAAAGGAATTAGCTAAAGTTGATCACGCCAGTTTGGATTATATGTCGTTTAGAAAAGCATTTTATACTGAGGTAAATCCCTACTAATATTATAAATGCGAAAGTATCTCTGTCTGTCTGTCTGTTACGCTTTCACGCCTAAACCACTGAATTGATTTTAATGAAATTTGGTACAGAGATAGAGTTGACCTTGAGAAAGAACGTAGGATAGTTTTTATCCCAGACTTTTGAAAGGTTCTCTTGAAAACGCGATATAACCGAACTCAACGCTAGCGAACTACGGGCGGAATCTAGTTAATTATACATATGTTATATATATGTTTAACATACTTTACAATATCATCATGTCATATATATATATATATATACAGGGTAACTGGTGAATTACTATCAATATTTAAGGAGAATACTCGGTACATGATTCTCATTCGAATTATGTAAAAAAAATAGGTACTTAATTTTTGACCAAATTTCCGTATAAATAAATAAAGTGTGGACACGTTCCAAGTGTTCCAAGTGTGGACGCGTGCGGCGGCGTGCTGATACAACACTACGCCGCAACACGCGTATGTGTGAGTGTGTGTGTATACCTAATCTGTAGGGTGTTCACACGATGCGTAATTAATTACATAACTTTTGGTTAACTTTACTTAGAAGTTTATTAATATTTAATGTTATATTAATTTTTATTTTGTCATATATGATCGTCAAATATCACGTCCTCAAGTATTGATAGTAATTCACCAGTCACCCTGTATATATGTACTCAAAAAGTAATTCATTTGTAATTATAGTTATTGGATTCAAACATTTTCTATTTAATAGGTTAGTGAGCTGGCCAGAATGACGCCAGAAGAGGTTGAAGCATACAGAACAGAGTTAGAAGGTATAAGGGTGAAAGGTAAGGGTTGTCCAAAACCTATAAAAAATTGGGCTCACTGTGGTATAAGTAAAAAGGAACTTGATATACTGAAGAAATTGGGCTTTGAAAAACCTACACCAATTCAGGCTCAAGCTATACCTGCTATAATGTCTGGAAGGTAAGAACTAATTATTAATTACACAATTGCTTACTTAGAAAGTAAGTTTTTAGCACAATATCTAAACATTTTATTGAAAAAAAAAAAATCTTATATTGTTGTACAATTCAAAGTAATACTATTTTTGGTATCCCAAAATTTTATATATTAAATTTAAAATAATTAAAAACTAACCAAATAGTTATGTACGTTAGACGTTTTATACTTAATTTAATCAAATATGTTTCAGAGACCTGATTGGTATAGCAAAAACGGGTTCCGGTAAAACATTAGCATTCATATTGCCTATGTTCAGACATGTTCTCGACCAACCGCCTTTAGAAGACACAGATGGACCAATATCACTCATAATGACTCCTACGAGGGAACTTTGTATGCAGATAGGGAAAGATATTAAGAAGTTTGCCAAGTCTTTGGGTTTGAGAGTTGTTTGTGTTTATGGTGGAACTGGAATATCTGAACAGGTATGTATTCTGAATGTTGTGTCTAGACATTTTTATCATATGGAGATATCTATAAAGTATATTTGGAATATTAAATAAGAAGGTTAAACATTGTATCTATCTTAGAAAAATAAGAATCAATATTGTTAAGAAACTTAATAGTTAGTATAAAATAGTGTAAAATTTGTTGAAGCTGTTTACATGTTTTCAACTTATTTCATTTTTTTTTGGATATAAATCTGTGTGAGAATTTAATTTTGTTTAATACTTCCAGATAGCGGAGTTAAAACGTGGTGCTGAAATGATAGTATGTACTCCTGGCCGTATGATCGACATGTTGGCTGCTAATTCAGGTCGTGTGACTAATCTGAGACGAGTTACATACATTGTACTTGACGAGGCTGATCGGATGTTTGATATGGGTTTCGAGCCGCAGGTAACGCCATCTAGTTATTCAGTGCAAAACAGAAAGTGAAAAATCACTGTTTTATATAACTTCTCATAATCTTCTATCTTCTATATACATATATAAAAATGGATTGCTGTTCCTTAGTCTCGCTAAAACTTGAGAACAGCTGAACGGATTTATCTTATCTTAGTCTTGAAATGTTCGTGGAGGTTCAGGGAAGGTATAAAAGCTGAAAGAAATTGATTCTTTACTGAGAAAACCATAAAAACAGCCCTTTTCTATTTCCCATACAAACGTTTTTTTTTGACATTAGATTTGACAACTAACTAATATGTCAATGATTTTGTCACACTTCAAAAACGTAATAATTATTTCTTTATTATAGGGAGATACGAAGTTCGCCAGGTCTTCTAGTGTACTTATATTTATTAACTCTGTCACAAAAGCTATAAAGATTTAAGTCAATAATATTCGTTTACAGCCAAACAAACATAATCTATTGTTGTATACAATTTCTCATGGCCCTTTTCACATGTAAGTTTGAGCATTTTTAATATATTTTATACAGGTTATGAAGATAATTGACAACGTGCGTCCAGACAGACAGACGGTCATGTTCAGTGCTACATTCCCGAGGCAGATGGAAGCCTTAGCCAGACGTATATTACAAAAACCTATTGAAGTACAGGTATAATGAAATTAAATTCTATTGTTATAGAATAGAGTATATTTTTGATTACTAATTTTAACTTTTCAAATATGGTGCTATTTGATCCCTTATCCGAAACCAACTCAAATATTTGTACTGATGACAATTTAATGTGTGTAAAAAATTAGAACGTTATTTTAAATCAAAGAATTCATGATTCTTTTAGTAAATTGGATTGTAAGGAGGTTTTATATGATATATGTGTGTATGTTGGTTTTTATCTATAAGTCATGATTTTTTAAAAGACCTATCTTTTATACAAACATAACTTACTAAATACTATCAAATGTAACTTCATAAAGTCCACTTCACTTTGATGTACATGAATTTCTATATTCAAAGATACAAAGTATCATCATAACAATAAATAGGTTTTGAGATATATGTTTTAAGTAACTTATAAGAAATACTACATTAATCTAATTGGTAAAAAATAGACTCTGAATATACAAAATATTATCGAAAAGACATAAAAAAACTTATTAATATATTCAATCCTTAGGTTGGAGGTAGAAGTGTTGTTTGTAAAGACGTGGAACAACATGTAGCTATACTAGAAGAGGATGCTAAGTTCTTCAAATTACTGGAATTACTAGGACTTTACAGTCAGATGGGAAGCATTATAGTGTTTGTTGACAAACAGGAAAACGCTGACAGCTTGCTTAAAGATTTGATGAAGGCATCTTACTCTTGTATGAGTTTACACGGAGGTATGACAATACATTTTATCTAAACCAATGGAAAGTAAAGTAAATTGATACTAGACTTAACTTATTATGTTGATAAATTAGTAATTACTGATCTAGTTAAATTTATAATGAAAATATATTATACTAAAGCACTACTCAATTAAGTATAACAATATGTAAACACATTGTATGTTTATCAAATTTATCTTGTTTCGTTGGCAGTGGTCAGTAAATTGTTTACAGTATTCATTCAATACATTTACATCAGCCATTAATTTGTTATGGCATCATGCATTCTATTTTGTTATAATAATATTTATTGATCAAGTCTTATCTTTGTCATTACATGTTTGTGTGACAATTAGTACTTTTCCTATACAGTTTGCTATAAACAGTGATTCATAGGTAGATGTTTATTTGTATGTATGTTTCTGTTTCATGTTTACGCAGCTATTAAACTATTGACAGTATAAAATATTACAGAAAAATCTCTTGCAAAATCTCATCATTATTTATTAAGTTACTCTCTTAAACTTTATAGTTATTTTTAAGACAAAAAATTAATAATTTCTTTTGCAAACCTAATAAGAGGTTTATAATTGATTTTTAACTTCCATTCTTTATGTATATTTTTAATTTTAATATATTGAATCTATTACTATATTAACTACTTATCAAATTAATATTTAAATAATTATAGAAACAAATAAATAATATGTTCCCAGTATTCCTATTTGTTGTCATGATTTTATTGAATACTGTTGAGGTGTTGGTGTTATAGGTCCTGTTATATTTCAGTATATACAGGGTGACTGGTGAATTACTATCGATATTTGAGGACGTGATATTTGACGATCATATATGACAAAATAAAAATTAATATAACATAAATATTAATAAACTTCTAAGTAAAGTTAACCAAAAGTTATGTAATTAATTACGCATCGTGTGAACACCCTACAGATTAGGTATACACACACACTCACACATACGCGGCGGGGGCGTGGTTTTGTATCAGCACGCCGCCGCGCGGGTCCACACTTGGAACACTTGGAACGTGTCAACACTTTATTTATTTATACGGAAATTTGGTCAAAAATTAAGTACCTATTTTTTTACATAATTCGAATGAGAATCATGTACCGAGTATGCTCCTTAAATATTGATAGTAATTCACCAGTCACCCTGTATATTTTTATATATATTTATATCTTTTCGTTTGTGTAAGATTCACTTTTATTTGACTTCACTTCTATTACGTATTCATATATATATATTGTTAATCTTTCAGGTTATCTAAAAAAAATTATATTTCGTAAGTTTTGCGTACTGTCGTATAAAATAATGAGAGGAGACAGAACGCGAAACGATTTTAAAGCGACATATATATGAGGCTTACTGTTACAGGTATTGATCAATTCGACAGGGACTCAACTATAGTGGACTTCAAGAACGGCAAGGTGAAGCTGTTGGTGGCGACCAGCGTGGCGGCGCGGGGCTTGGACGTGAAGCAGCTGGTGCTGGTCGTCAACTACGACTGTCCCAATCATTACGAGGATTACGTGCATCGGTCGGTTATCACGATATTATATATACCTAGTCGTCATCAGCCTATCAGAGTCCACTGCTGAGCAAAGGCCTCTTCTCACATGGAGAAGGTTTGAGCATTAATCACCACGCTTGCTCAACATGGGTTGGTGATTTCAAACTTATGATTGTGAAACTATAAGTCCAGGTTTCCTCACGATGTTTTTCTTCACCGTATGTCAGTGGTATGTAAATACTCTCAGAAAGTACATATGACTTCGAAAAATCACATTGGTACTTGCCAGGTTTGAACCCGTGCCCTCGGCAACAAGAGGCGGACCCTTTAACCACTAGGCTACCACTGACATAGTCGGTCAGGACACCTTGTGTGAATTAATTCAAATATAGAACATTAAAATATGGTATCGACTAAATTTAAATATAGGACATAAAAATACGGTATCGATTAGATTTAAATATAGAACATTAAAATGTGGTATCGACTAAATTTAAATATCGAACATTAAAATGTGGTATCGACTAGATTTAAATATCGAACCTTAAAATATTGCATCGACTAAATTTGAATATATGTAGAACGTTTTATAACTATTCCAAATTATTAGCACGCTATATGTTCGTCAGGTTCGATTCCTTCTAATGTTTATGAATTTTTAGTAGTATATTTTATATCCTGTAATTGAATTTTTAAGCTTAATATGTATTGAAAATTAAAATAGTAGTTATATAGGAATTGGGATGTAACCTGTAGATGTTATAATTCATTCTGCGGTATTAAGCTACTCGACTTGCGTAGTACTAACTTTATTAAGATGAGCTAGAAGCAGTTTGTCGGCCTGTAACAGAAAATAAATATTTTGAGCTCTAGGAACATGGAACCTGTATTTCAGTATAAAAATGCTTGAGTAAAATCATATATGTAATTTTATAATTAATTAATTTTATTGGTATGTTATATTAGACTCTTTATATACACATGTGAAACGTCTTAAAAAATCCAAATACGATTTATAATATCAGTTCGTTATCTGCATTCCTCTGCAACATTTTATGTTAAAATTAGTAATCATCAGGATACAGCGTCATTAAAACGATGTGTGTGATATATACACATACTAGCTGCGCCCCGCGGATTTCCGGGATGTAAAGTAGCCTATGTGTTATTCCTGGACGTCAGCTTCCTGTATACAAAATTTTATCAAAATCGGTTCAGCCGTTTGAGCGTGAAGAAGTAACAAACATATACACACACTCACAAACTTTCGCAATTATAATATTAGTAGGATAATATCTATGTACTCGGTTTTTATTTTTTGCACATAACCGTCTTCACATATTTGTTTACATATAAGACTATAAGTTTTAATGAATTTATTTCCTCTATGTTTTTTATTTGAAAGGCCGGCAATGCATTCTGGCGTTTTCAGGCTCAACGAGTGTTGCAGAGCGATGACTACTTGGCATTGGTTGGCTAGCCTGCTCGTTTGACCTCTAAACTTACAAATAATTCCTTATATAATTGCTGAACTATATGTATGTGTTAATGCTCATATCAGATGCGGTCGTACGGGTCGCGCCGGTAACAAGGGTTATGCTTGGACATTCCTTACTCCGGAGCAGGGTCGGTATGCGGGGGACGTGTTGCGGGCGCTCGAGGCCGCTGGGGCTACGCCCCCGGCTGAACTTAGGGCTCTGTGGGACAAGTACAAAGAGGCGCAGGAGAGGGACGGGAAGAAGGTACACACGGGCGGCGGCTTCAGTGGGAAAGGTAGAATAGTTTTTTAATTATTGTTTTCAACTTTTTATCCCTACTAATATTATAAATACGAAAGTAACTCTGTCTGTCTGTCTGTTACGCTTTCACGCCTAAACCACTGAACTGATTTTAATGAAATTTGGTACAGAGACAGAGTTGACCATGAGAAAGAACATAGGATAGTTTTTATCCCAGACTTTTGAAAGGCTCTCTTGGAAACGCGATATAATCGAACTCCAAGCGGACGAAGCTGCGGGCGGAAAGCTAGTTATGTATAATAGTATATTAATTCAGATGTTTCATTGGGTATTTTAGTGCAATTTTTTGTCAAACTTAATTGAAACTGTGATCTAATTCTTATATGACTATCATTTGCGTCGGTTTTCTATATATGTGATATATTATATTTATTTATTTATTTATTAGGGAAACATACAGCATATCGTATATTACAACTTAATATAATAATCATATTTAACACTTATGCCAGTTAAGTTTCCACTACTGTTTTAACAGGGAAGTGGACTAATTTTGACAAAGTAAAATTTTAACGTAATGTGGTTATGGTTAATTACTATTTACTAGTAAGTATTTTTCACAAGATTATAAATTTACTTAAATTATTTTTAACAGATCAATGTGGTTGTATTTTCTATTATGACTCTTACAAGATCATAGAATAAAAGAATTTTTGAAATAATTAGTTTTACAAATAGATATTGAAAAAGTATCCTGAGAGCGAGCGTTAAAACGTGGACATTTAAATAAAATATTACTGAGCAGATATGGAGAATCAATTAAGTTATTTAATATTTTGCAAAGAAACATTTGATCTTTGTTCTCTACGTTCTTGAAGTGGCAAAAAGACAAGCTCCTGATATATTTTTTTGTATATTTTCAATTAAGTTGACATATTTTGCATATTGTGGATTCCAAACAGTTGACGCATACTCTAAATAGTTACATGTTCTCTCTGATATATTTTTATGGTTGTGATCGGTTACCTTTTAGTGGTAATTATATTCTTAATTATATATACTATGTTATATCCTTATTTTTATATAGGTTTCAAATTCGACGAATCCGAAGCCCAAGCGGCTACCGAGAGGAAAAAATACCAAAAAGCGGCGCTTGGACTACAAGATTCTGATGACGAGGATGTTGAAGGTGACTTAGACCAGCAGATAGAGGTCATGCTGGCCGCTAAGAAGATTGTTAAAGAAATTAAGGTACGACTATACATTATTACAGTTTTGTAGTGAAACTTCTGTGATTTCCAACGAGGTTGCGTTAAACATTCAACGCTACCTTTGGGTCAATAGAAAGAGACGGAGCGATAGTAAATTGGTGGGTCGATTGTGAATTGTAAGAAATGTTTCTAAATGAAATTAATATTTTTGGATTACTATTTATTGTTTTTTAAACAACATACTCAATTTGCCACAACCATGATCAATGGCATACGAGATAGAAGTAATAAGATTATGCTTAGTAATACGAAAATATTAGGTTCATTTAAATTAATATTCGCGGAAGTCTTCGATCTCATGACGTTTATAAAGTCTGTCTTAAAGAAACAATATGAGATCACTAAAAACATCTACCACTGCCTATTTTCATTCCAACTTTACGAAGTTTCACTTCTTCCACTCAGAAAGACTCCACGCACAATTTTTTAAATATATTTTAATTTCATAATTATTAGGTTGGTGCGTATGAAATGTCGGATTCTTAAGTGATTGTATAAAACTTCATATCTTTCTTCAAAAGCTGTTTATTCAACCAAAATATGCTCCATTCGCTTCAATACACTTCTCCCGACGAGATTTTAAAGCGTAGATGCCTTTCTTAAAAAAATGTTGGTCTTTAGAATTAATAAACTATGATATCGAGTTTTTTAGACTGTCTTCATCTTCATAGTGTTTGCCCCTTAAAAACAACTCTAAATGCTTGAAAAAATGAAAATCGGTAAGCGAGAGATCCGGTGAATATGGTGGATGCTGCAAAACTTAATATTCCAGTTCGTTCAGTTTCGCAATTGTTTTGTGCGATGTATGCGGCCGAGCGTTGTACACACTTGTCCATCTTCTTAACCTTGCCAATCTCAGAAAGGTGTCTCAATATCGTTGTATGGTCAACTTTCCTCCTGAAAGCAAGTTCCCTCGTGCATATTACTGGATACGCTCCCACTAGAGCCTTCAGGTCATCATTCTTCACAGACATTTTGGGTCTTCCGCGCGGCTCATTTTGCAGTGAAAAATCGCCAGTACGAAATTTTTTGAACCAACGCTGCACTTTCCGATCGTTAATCGTATTCTCCCCAAACGCTTAGTTTATGTTGCATGCAGCTTTTGCAGCACTATTACCAAGTTTGTACTCATATAAGAAAATGACGCGAATGTCGGCAGAATTCATATCGGCAATAAACTCAAAAGAAATAACAAAAGGAAAGACTTTCGAGAAAACCTATTTTGCTGAAATGAGTCTCTGGCAATGGACAATACGACTGTGAGTGAGGTTATGCCAAAGACAAAAGCATAACGAAAACAGGGAGACAAACGTCCTCATGTAAAGAGAATCCGACATTTCATATGCACCAACCTAATATTTAATTTTATAATTTATGTGTCCTTCAAAATGTCAATCAATCTTAACTATGTTTAGCTAAAATAGATTTTTATGTACCATTATTATATGTTGATTTCATCCTTATTCAGAATAAATATATACATATGTATAATATATTTTTGCAGCCTGGTGTGGCGACGGCAAATCCCCCAGCGACAGCGGGAGCAAGTGTAGACGGGAAACTTGAACTAGCTAGACGATTAGCTTCAAGAATAAATCTGGCTAAAGGATTAGGCGTTGAACAGAAGGGAGCGACTCAACAAGCGGCCGAGGCTATACTTAAAGGAAACCCGTCTGCGCACACCCTTATCACAGTAAGTATTACCATCTTTACGTATAATATATTAAGCATATAGTTACAGTGAGATTATGTCAATAATTACGTCATAGTAATTAGTATGTGTCGTATTACGTCAATTTTTATGTAGACATTTAAAATTTTGCACCATACAATATGTCAGCAGTAATTTAGTATGAAACTTTTTCAATATATGTTAATTAAAACTACTAGGAATCATATATATTACATATGATACGATATCATTGCTTTTTTTTATTTCCACTTAACTTTTATAATAATAAACATTTTCTTTAAACATGACATTTTTGGGTCAAGACATATATATTTTTTTTTAATCTTCGTATCACAAACAAAAAATAAATATATTACGTATAATTTCTTTGGAAGTGATGTGTAATAAATAAGTCTTGTTCCTGTTGTTGCGTTCTAGTTATTTAGGTTAAAAGATAATAAATACATAATAAAAAAATACTGGCATATAACAATTAAATCGACAGCAATTTCTAAAGAATTAAAAAAAAAAAAATTGATTTTTTTTTTAAACAAAAAATAATAGCATATCTATATTTAAAAGATTTAATTTATCTTTCTCAAATTACGTCTTTATAATTAGTATCGAAAACAAGTCGTTATCTCAACACACCTTTTCTGTTATCATGTGCTAATAATATATAGTTTTATCTAATTGTAATCAGATCAGGTGATGTTTGCAAATATAATAATAATTACGTTTAAAATAAATATGTATTACGTAGTACGATAAGAGAGGGAAAGTTTTCACTTCTTCTCTTTACAACTCTATTTCCTACTCTCTGATGTTGAAAAAGAAAACGTTTAAAGAAAACTTGATTATAACATTTATTTAACCGAAAAATGAAACAATATTACGATTGTCATTCAGTATGAATTTGGAAATTATTAGAATTATCTCGTTATAATTACTGTGAAATTTATACAGAAATAACCTAAAGTCTAAACAATAAAACTATGATGTTGTCGTAAGACATTTAAAAGTTGAGTTGTTTAATATAATATTAGTATATTTGGCAAATTTATATGCGCTACGTGTGTCTAAATTTATTTGTAACGATCGATTTATTGTAATAAATTAGTTCTTCTGTCGTTGACAATTAGTGTTCTATTTACGAGAAAAAAAGCGCTTAATGTATATTTGAATTCTTTAAATAAATTCTAACAAAAATCTAACAATCTCAAAATATTGTTAATGTCATCCAGATATATAATAACTTAAAAAAAATATATTTCCTTTGTGTATTATAATTTTCTTAGTAATTTTTTGATTTATATTTTAACGTATGTAATATCTTATATTCCAGGCTAAAACGGTAGCTGAACAGTTAGCAGCCAAGTTGAACACTCGTCTGAACTATCAGCCTCGCGACGAGAGCACCACTGAACCGGCCGAGGAGGTGTTCAGGAAGTACGAGACCGAACTGGAGATAAACGACTTCCCTCAGCAGGCTAGGTGGAGGGTTACTAGCAAGGTACGAACACACACACACACACGAGCTCGTACAGAAACATCTGTACACACACGCACATCAGCCTATCAGAGCCCACTGCTGAGGAAAGGTCTCTTACTCACATGGAGAAGGATTGAGCATTAATCACCACGCTTGCTCAAGACGGGTTGGTGATTTAAAAATTATAATTGTGAAACTATAAGTCATAAGTCCAGGTTTCCTCACGATGTCCTTCTCCGTTTGTCAGTGGTGTCTAAATACTCTCAAAACACACTATCTCTCTCTCACACACACATACGAAATGCACACATACGCATACCCGTAGAATTTTTATGAGATAGATGTGAAAATATTAAATTAAAAAGTAGTTGTGTTTATAATAGAAGTACATATAATATTTTTTGAGAGATGTTAGCATTGATTACAATGAAGATATAATGTATATGTAATCTAATCTTAAATTTTAAAAAAGTTCTAGACCGAATGTAACATAGTATAATGCCTTAATAGATTGAACTGTTTTTGAATTTTCTTAAATGATCCCATTATATAAATCTTTGTTTTCTTCCATTTTACAATAAATTTTGTTATTTCGTATTGTTTATTACAATCTTTATCTACAGACACTCCACAAACATTGTCACTTTGGCAACAAAACAAAATTAATTTTATCGCGTCTTTTTTTTCCAACTACGTTAAGATGTAATCAACTTCAAACAAACATGTATTAAGATAAAATTTTAATTTCGGATTTTATTAAGTATTATAATATACAAATAAATAACATCAGACGTGGCAAATTCCACGGTCTTCATAAATAATGTATATTAATAATTTTTCAATGTACACAAACCCATTTTCAATAAATCACTTTTATTAGGGGTCGCTAGATAACCCCTGCATTATTTATGCATCCACCCACATACTGTGACATCAGTGCATTTGTTAATATCAAACGTTCAACATGTTCCTCAAGTTGGCATTACTCGGTGCTGTCATATTTTTCTGTGTTAAACTCATTAATAGGAGACGATGTTATTACTGTAATTAACGAGGTAATACATTAAAAAAAACCTTAACTAGGGGTCATTATGTTTAAATAATATTTTTTTAATGTTATTTCCTGTTTTTTCCACCAGGAGGCGCTAGCGTTGATCAGTGAATATTCAGAGGCAGGTATTACAGTGAGGGGGACGTATGTACCACCAGGGAAAGCTCCGCCCGAAGGAGAAAGGAAACTTTACTTGGCCATCGAAAGTTCTCAAGAGCTAGCTGTGGCTAAAGCGAAATCAGAAATAACGAGACTCATTAAAGAAGAACTCCTCAAGCTACAGACGTCTGCCCATCATATGATTAACAAAGCTAGATATAAGGTCCTCTGAATAAATGATTATATACTTTGACGTTTTGTATACAGGGTGTTTCATTTTTGTATTTATGTGCGTTATATATGTATGTACATAACTCGAGAACATATAAATTTTCAATTTTTAAATAAAAATTAAGTATGTATGTAGAATTTAAAATATATCTTGCTGTTTTCAACTCTATAATGGTGGGAGTGATTCACATATTTTTTATGAATATTCTCATAGTAGCATTCATAATAGCTATCCAAAGTTATAGAAAACAAAAAGTAAAACTAAAAATTATGAAATTTAATAACAAACTTATCCAGACTTAATAATTATATGACGTCATTCTAAAGGAATCTTAATGACAGGTCTAGATCAAAGTTTAAAGTTACTTATGATGAAATTCTCATGAAATTTGCAGCGTTGCAATCCATCACGGTTTATATTACTTTTACAAACATTGCGTCAGACAGATAAGGAGTTCTCGTAGTAAGGGCAATATGTCATTTGTTCTAATAATCGTGTACTGTGCAATGATAACGAATTCTTGAGGTTAACCTTAAAACCGTTAAAATATAACAATATGGGAATCTCTGACGGCTATTTGTACGGAATTCATTGGAAAATGAACTGTAATGAATCGATAAATAAGACTCGAGTTGTATTGAGATGAAACAAAAATAACGCTCATTAAATAAATGACTAATGACGGAATTCATGGTTCCGTTATGCAATATATTTTTTATAATTAAGAATTAATAATATCATTGCAAAAAAAACATTTAACAGAATATCATCTAATATTTACTCTGTGTTATTAGTATTGTAAATAACATATTAAATCCCTGGAAAAGTTGGTTCAGACTGTCGATGTAAATTCAAACAGGACTTACATACATATGTATATATGTATGTATATATATATATATACATACTCGTCTTCAAAAGGTATCGTTCGAGTCTACGATTGCTAAACGTTAGAAGAGGATCATATTTCTTTTCTTGAGGGTAACCATCAGTTAGCCCAATCATGTACCGATGACGTATAATATAAATATGGGTGATGATTTAATTGACCAATTTACTGATAACAATTTATCACAACACTGTAACGCAAAACTTTTTAATATATATATTTAATTCTATTTATTATAATACTCTTGTCTCATCATTTGTGCATACAAATACATTGTAACTAAGACTAACAATGTCTACATATGTTCGTGTATATCGTTGTGCATAACGTGCCTATTAATAATGTTTATGACAATTAAGGATTGAATGGAGAATTCCTACAGATAAAAAGATTCGGCACGTGGTCTGACATCCCAAGATAGCATATGTCAATAGTCACAGATTATAAATAGCTCGCTCTCGTGCGGGCGGCCGTGATAACACTATGGAGGTTATCTACTGGGGAAGATTCCATCGCAAACACTTACTGCGTCCGCGGCTAACTTTACAGGCTGACTTATGAGGCGTTATGTTAATGAATCGATACAAATTTATATGTACAAACAGTTATTTATTATAGATAGTGGAAATATTGCTTAATTGTATGTAAAATGTTTCTTAAATGATAAATAAATACGTACTAAAGAATAGTTTTGTTCATTAGCTAGGCTCGCAAAATGTATGTACAAACAACTTTCGCGTTTCACGCTTTGTGAATGAAATGGAAAAGTCTTGTACTCTAAAAGTTAGTTCCTTTTAGTCTTAGTTCCAAAACATGTGAAAAAAGTTATATGTATTTCTTAAATTAAAGCAGAAAGGCTCCGATTAAATAAAATCCCCTTATATATGTTATCTTTAGTTTCTATCTTGTTTTTCAATATAATCTCTTCATCGTGCAAGTTTTTAATTAAATGTAAGAAAAAGTATATCTATACGTATGAATTTATAAAAAAAATATACTTTGAAGAATATGGAAAACATACATGAAACTTTTAACAAAGATATACATTATCCATCAAAATATGATTCTTATTTCGTTAATTTAAAATTTAAATATATCAGCCCATGTTCGTCCTTCCTACCTAACTGTCAATAAGTGTTTTGACAGAAAAGAATTTTAGGGATGATTAACAATTGAGCCATTCAGTATTGCACAACCTGAAAATAAATTAACACAGAAATATATTTCTTCATTAAAAATTATATCAATGATATATTTATTCGATGTTAGCGTTTAAAAAAAAATTGAATTCAAAAAGAAAAAGTGACAAATTAGTATGATTATGACGCTTAACAGATGTTGCTATATATTTTTACTGCAAATTGTTATTAAAATATTAGAGATTAAAAGGTTAATTAATATGACTATGTTTATAATTTTATAAGTGCCTACATAAGGAATGAAACTTCCGATTGTAAGAATTGTCCGGAAAGATAACGATACTGAAGGACAGACATAACATTGCCTCGTGAAACTGTTGTAGTGATACTTTGAAGTTGATGTGGGATAGATTCCCAATAGCAAATAACTTTTACTTTACAATTTTTGGAGTGTATTCTGGACATTCTCATCTCGTATACCCGTGATCATGGTTGTTGCAAAGTCGGGAGTATATAGTTAAAAAAAGAGTAGTAATTCCAAAAATATTAGTTTATTTAAAAGAATACGCCTGAAAGTCTTAGATAACATTATGTATTTGTTTATTAATCCTAGTAGATGTAAGATTATGCTGAAACGACCTGCAGATAACGTAAAGCAAATGATTCTTAATTTGTTACTAAATAATCATTATGACAGATACTAACTTAAATATGATAGACAAGATCTTAAATATTTAAGATTTGATTCCTGAATGGTCAGAGCGATAGAATTGCTAATGTCATTTAGTAAAACAAAAACACTAAATTTAAATACTAACGACTAAGTAAGTACAGAGTTGTGTTATTCTGTTTATATAACTAAGTTATCAATATACCAGTATTGGCAGAGACATTGTAAAACAATATTAAATATTACATAATATATAATGATTTAACAACATTAAGCAAAACAGTATTATCGCCAAGCAAAAGTAATGACAACGCAAGAAATTAAAGTTTTACGTCATTCAAATATTAAGATGTCAAATGTCGTTGTCATGTCACCTCTCGACCCGAGAACCGATGGATTCTGGTATCATTCAATATAAAAAAGTTACATCGAGCTAACGAATTATCTGGAAATATATATTTTTTATTTTAGTGATAATGAAAATAATAATATATTATGTCACACTGAGATAGAGCCAGGAAGACATTTGTATTTAAACATTAAAATTAATTAAAACCTAAGTTTCTTCTAATTATTTATTCTGTTAATAGAATTAAGTACATATTTGTATAGTCATCAAGTTTATTTAGATTTTAATATGATAGGGATTTTATATTCTTAAAAGCTTTGATTGGAAGTACGTTTGCAAATAAAAGTATTTTAAAAAAAATATTCCAGAAAAAATATTGAACGAATGACGTCGAAACCAAACGCTGAAATGGCGGTTGACGTAAATAATAAAAAAAGAATCGCATTAATTTACCTATCTCATAAGTAAATATCATCTGTTCTGATTGTTTCGTGTTATTAGTTTGGCTGTTTGATAATATTTTCTTGATTTTTTTTAATTTGATAAAGTTCTTTAATCTCAAGTGTTACGTACAATAATAGTACATGCATGTATAAGAAAAAGAGACAATTATATATCAAGATAAATTCATATTACATGTTCTGTTCCTTTGGAGAGAATTTAAAACTCTCATACAATAGGACGTTTATATTTTGACAGATAATTGCTATTACCTAAGCATTTATTATAATAAAGCTAAATTGAATATTAATTTTGGACGTACCTAATTATATGGAATGCAATTTGTATAACTAAAATGAAATAAATCGTTATGTTGACGAGGAAATTTGTTACAGATAGTTAAAATAGTTATGTAAAAACATTACACGTGTTGTTTGTGAAACAGTAATGTAGTCTTAGAAGTGATGACGTTTTTTTGTTATCAGTAGTTACAAAACAAACGTCGCTATGGAAAATCTTAAAAAAATTACGATAAGTACATTTATCTTTGGATTGAAGAGAGATTTGAGATAAATTACTGTATATTCAATATGTAAGCGAGTTCCAATTTACTAAAACATGTAAATATTTCTTCTATAGGTGCGGCTTTTTCAAATAATTTTCATATCTTTCACATGGGAAGTGTTATTGATATAGCTGGCCTTGAGTCATGTTTTGGTGGATTATGAGTAATATTCGATCGTGATACAGATAAGTGTCACTCAATCAGCACGGGTCCGATTCAAATGTAAGATAAACAACAAACGTGCTCCCCAGCGGATAGAATCGTGGTCAATTTACCGAACAAATTAAGATACCATTCAAACATTATTTATTTGTTTTACTTAAATACCTACACCTGAGTCGCAAGTCCCAGGCACTGTTGAAGAATGAAGCTCCTCTCCCTGCAACGATGGACCCGGCACCCGCACGGTGAATCCATTGAATGCTGAGAAGTTTCGTGTCTATATAGAAGTATGAATAAACAATGTTTGATCATAAATATAATCATTATAACAAACTTCTTCAGTACTTGTGGTTTTTTTGTACCTTTAACGAATTCAAATTGATTTAGCATTTAGGTCCTTTTAATACATTCCATCTAATAGTTCATATACCTATATCTCGGTTATTCTAATATGTATGTATCAGTTTTAATGTTTCCGACAACATAAAAAACATCGTCTTTCCCTTAATTCTCGATAATTATATTATCGGCTTGATTGTAATATAATCTATAATATAGTATCATGCTTCGCTTGTGACTCTCACTAGTCAGCACGCGCTGCCTGATACAATTTAACTCCGCAGGGCGTGACTCTAATTGACTCTAATCGTCTCTAATCAGCTCTAATCGGCTTAAATCGGGTTGCTTATTATCAATTATAATGATTATAAAATTTTAACATATCAAATTTTAATGTATTTATAAAATTGCGGCATCATCATTAAATTTTGTCCTTGAATACAATAAAGTTGAATATATATTTTTTTCTTTTCATTCAGATCGTAATTTGCAATAGTTAAGATATAAGAAAATACAAATGTTTAATTCAGTGGTGGCCTAGTGGTTAAAAGGCCCGCCTCCCATGCATGAGGGCGCGGGTTCGATCCTGGCCGACCAATGTGATTTTTCCAAGTAATATGTACTTTCTAAGAGTATTTAGACATCACTGATTAATGTATTCCCAAAAGAGGGTTAAAAACAATTAGCCAAAACTATTCACAACATATGAAGCAGACCCTGGCTAAAGCTGGGAAATTGCCAGGTAGAAGTAGCAAATGTACTCAAAGATATTCTCTGTATTACGTCAACGGTCTAACAAAATATCTGTTTAAATAAATATAATATGATAATTATATTTTCTTGTACGTATAATTGTAATATTTGCTCTCTGTCCCCAATAGTGATGGCAGTAAACTTTCCACTGTAATATGTTTTTATATGTCTTCGTCTTCCATATATAGAATTATCTCTTGTCTGTATACATTGGCACGTCAAAACTAACGCTGGCAAAGTAATTGTAATATTTCCTGTTTATTAAACACTATGTAAATATTATAATAATCATGAGAATATCGATTTCTATCATATACGATCTCTTTTGTGATTTAAACTTAGTTAATTAAAAATATAGATTATAAATGACAAAAGATTGGTAATATACTGTGTCTGTGAAAACTAAAATATAGGTACATATAAGTACGATGTAGAAATTTCAGTCATAATGTTAATGTATTTACGTACATATTTCTTTTATTTAAAAAAAATATTAATATTTAATGTATAGCTTGATATTATTTTAAATATGTAGATAATTATAAAATGATGCAATACACAAGCGTCCTGTATACAGCATAAGTTTTGTTATCAAAAAGTTCAAATGCCGATGTGTTGATAAATACGATCCTGACCTTACGGGTTCGATTTTGTGAACTCTGGGTCTTTTCCTTACAGCTGTTTTTATTATTGACATCTCATAACCCGTGACTTCGTTCGTATTTCCTGTATTATGTCTGCTAAACTTGTTTTTTAATTAAACTCCTTTCGAAACTAAGCAGTAAGAAAAGAAATGTGGTGGGATTAAAAAACTTTAATAAAAATATATCACGCCATCTTTTAAAAGGTTCTGCTGCAACGTCACTTAAAGAATCCTAAGGCTTAGAGCTTTAATCTTCAGTCATATACATACATATACGCCATATAAGCTCTCCGCTAGAGGGCGTCATAACATTCAGACTTCCAGATCTCTAAGCTTACTGCAAAAATATCAAAGATGGCGTTAGTAGTACCATTTTGAAAATCAACTGTACTAACATTTTCGCTCAAAAACAATATAATAGAAAAGGTTACAATTTATTTCGTAACCTTAGACTAAAAAATGAATTATTAATATTATAAAATGACATCTTTAAATATATTATGAGGACGAAATACGAAGGTAATCTACATTGATATTGAATATTAATATTGAAATCTTAAACAATGTCAATAAAATCATAACAAAAAATATATGTGCATGCATTTTTGGCTAACATTGAATTATATTAGATTGATTAGTTGGCGTTTATTAGATATTGTATCTTGAACAGTTTGACAAACTAAATTAAAACATATACCTACAAATAGAAAGAGGACTCATAAATGTTTAAATATGTAAAGCATTTAGTAAAATTAAATAACAATGTCGTATTACAAGTAACATATTTCTTCAATTTGAAAAGTCATTTCGTATTTTAAAAGTGTTTTCTATTAATGGAAATTAACGTCAGATATTTAAAAATTAAGACCTTTATCATTCATCTGTTGCATTATTGAGACAATAAAATTTATTATCTATAATTAAATAATATAGAATTGGAACAACAAAATTTGTGTGATCCTACACAAAAATCTCTTAAATACAATCTAATATTTAAATTTGGACATTAATATTTTGCATAACTAATAAAATTATGTAAATGGGAACAAATTTGACTCTCTCTATGCGTGTCATTTGATTGCTAACTGTTTACTATCAAGTGTCAACAGTATTCTATTATGAGTCTTGTAAACAAGAAAAGTTACTGCGCACGCGCGATGTGTCGGTGTCAGAGGTTCGCGCCCTTCACCTCTTTAATATTTATCATTGTTTCTATTTTGTTTGTAAACTATTGTTAACAGTGTATGTTTTTTACGACCACACTTTTAATAATATTGACCTTTAAAGATATATTACATATTATCTGTGTTCAATATAAAGGGATGTCCGAATGAAATACAGTAAATAAGTTTTATGATAATATTTTTTTTATTAAATTATTCTTTTCATCGTTCACATATCTGTAAAATATTTTTAACGACAATATAATAACAATCCGAGCCCACTCAAAGTCGGCAAGGCTCGATACATCTCTACAATAATATTATTTTTTAATATCACAAAAATATACTTATAAACTAATATGTTTAAAGCTTTCGGTTCGAACTTACTAACTAGACGTTTTAAACCTACACTAATAAACTGTGAGATCTATATTACATAGTAACACAACACTAGATGAGACGAGCGGACGCTTGTGGGGCGAGCGACTCCGAGCGGCGTTGGAACAGATGTGACCGTGGAGTCGGGTCCGCTGGTCACGGGTCGCTCTCACCACGGACGCCACACGGGGGCCTTGGAACAGTTGGTGGTGCAGTCCAGGGGGACGGCCGTGTGCAGGGGGAGGGGGGACGCCGGCGGCGAGGGGGACACGTAGCCTGATGATGAGGAGGCTGTCGACAGAGCGGGGCTCGGCGGGCTGGCTGGGGGGGTGTCCGTGTTGGCGGCGCGCTGGATGTCGTTCAGCTTGTGTCCGAGGTGAGTCATTAGCTGAGTCCCCAGCCTCACGTCCACTCCGGGGATGGAAGCCAGGCAACGGGACACTTCATTAGCGGCATGAGTGAATCCGGCTCTGAAGCGGTCTGTGTCCACTGTCGAGTTGAGGGACAGGCGACGTTGACGGCGGAGTTTATGGAGATGGTTCACAGTCAATTCCAAAATATCGGCTTTTTCCAGTTTGGCGACGTTTTCACCTTCCGATTGGAGAGCGCTGACCATGAGCTCCTTGAGCTCATCGAGGCAGCGGTTGATGCGAGCGCGCCTTTTGCGCTCGAGCATCGGCTTCATCACTTTGCGATATTGATAAGTGCGCGAGACGGGCTGCGGGCCGTCGTCCGTGATCGGGTACGCGAGATCGTAAGACATGGTAGACATTGGTGTGTGAGTTGTGAGTGCGTGCGTTAGCGCTGAGCGTTGAACGCGGAATGTGTTCTGACGGTCGAGCGGGGGCTTATATAGGGAGCGGAGGGCGCGCGATCGTGGGAACGCTCGGAGCCGTCGAGTTCCCACACGCGCCACCTGTGCGGAGCAGCTGCCGCCGGGGGGTGCCGGGGGGTGGCGGGGACTGGCGGGAGGCCGGCGGGGGGCGGGGGAGGGGGACACACGCGCCGCGCCGCGCGTGCGCGCCGTAAACAATCGCCGTCGCGGGCGCAAGCCGCGGCGCGACGCTTGGCTTTCAGCTCGCACCACAGTCACACACCTCATTGTGGGCCGCCATCGATGACCTGCATGGACTTTCTAGATAAATACTTAGACGTTACTTGGGAATAACTTGTATAAATATCTTTGACTACATAGAACTAAGGAGGGTCATTTTTTAATTTCTTACGGTATACGAGTATGATTTAAATTTCACGGGGATAATTTTAATTATATAGGACATAGATCTGTGTGTCTTCACAATCCATCGATTATTGTAACGTGTTGTATATTGAGGTGTTTCTATGACGTCAGAGTACCATTCGTCATGATTAGTGCCGGTCGTCATATTATTCATATCAATTAATCAACAGCTAGCTCTGGCCGCACGGATTTCGTTTCATAACCACCACGTCTCATTAAACCCTCGTTTAATTATGACTACACATTAGATGTGTGTAGGTATGTTGTAACTCGTACGTGTGATCGGTGCCCCGGTCCGGAGTCGATCAATCAAACTCTCGTACAATGGCCGTCGTCAATTATAAGCAGCTACTGTGGGTATTCATCAATCACTAAGAATGTTATGGGAGTAATGATTATTAGCATACTATATTATGTTTATTACAGAGATTACTAATGGATGTATTGGTTCTGTATGTGAGCGTATTGTTATTCAGAAGTTAGGCGTTGTTGTGACTAAGAATGTATCTGTATGATGGGTTAGCGGTCATATGAAATGCATATACGTAGGTGTTCACCCACGCTCGTTATGTTTCCCACATGTAGCGGTGCCCGAACCTCCTACGTACTTATATTATCACATACTTTCTCCGAACACCTACGTCAGTTTTTTTTTATCAACGCCAAATCAACGGTTCTTGACACGAGATTACAGAAAAAATATTGTTGGAAGTTTTGTTTGCAAATATGTAACGTAATCTTGTTAGTATTTTTTTTATATATGAACATTCTAGTAAAATTTAATTACATTTTCAATATATAATAATAAGTCACAGAGAAATTATCAAAGTTCAATTACGTATTGATAACATACGATTGATATCAATGATAATTATTTTGATTGGGAAATTAATAATTATAAATTGGTTTATTTTATACAAAAGTATATTTTGTAGGTTTTTAAAACTTTATAAGTTATTAGGACTATGGAGTATATCCTCTTACATATACATTTTGAAGTTTTGGATTTTTTTCTTTTGATTTAACAGAGTTAATTAATGTATTATTTTATATTTCATTAAATTTCCCTCTCATTTAATAACAAAAATTCCGTTATTATAATGTAATGACGGAAATATTCCGATGAATGTTTTAGTTGCGTCAAAATAATTATTATGCGTCAAATTGGAAATAGGTACTAAACAAATTGATTACTCGTTCACAGATAAAATCACTTATAAAAGATAACAAAAATGAGGTTGTCGACTATTTAAATCTAAAAACATGCCTTCAGAAATAATCGTAAGTATATAACTTTATTTATTTTAATCAATAAATGACAAAATATTTCACAATATCATTTTATATAATCCATCCAAAAAACATGTTTTGATTATATAATAAAAATGCATTCATAAATTATGCTGATAGGTACACACGTAACGTATTTTCTCATGCCGCTAACACAGGCTAAGAGTTTCCTGATTTCTCGATAATACCATCTCATTACCTTATGTTACGAAAACAATTTCTACTTATTTTTGTATTAAATCGTATTAAAACTATCCTTTTAAATTCAAGGAATGAACGACACGAGATTTTTTTTGGTGTAAGAAACAGTAACATTCAGTTTCAATACTTAAAAACTAATTAATAAAAGTCCTCTTTTAGGAATATTTCTAAAACTACAGTATTCGCTAAATTTTCCTTTCTATCATTAGTGTAATGAACAAAATCATTTAATGTACATTTGCGATCACATTATCTATAATGCATTCGGGTTAATGACACACAATCCACAATTGACCGTACTTGATTGTAATAATAGGAATTTTCCTACTTATAATTAGACCAGTTTTGTTATATACGCGCACACGATTGTCCTTCGTAGCTATTAAACTCGGCACATCTAGAATCTTCTGGTTACATCAATAAACATTACCAGTTTATCAGTAATATGTTTTAATTATAATTTAATGATTTTTTCTCTCATCAACCTGATTTAAACAAAAAGCCGGTAAGCAAGTAACGGTGTGATATGCAAATATCGGGTTTCGTTTTATAGTTTTTTGTTTAATCAATTTGATATAACAAGACGCCGAGTTGGCGCGCTTATTTTAACATCATATGTTATATTTATGATTCCGAGTAACATCGCATCATGAGAATAAATACATTTATTTTGAATATACTACATATGAAAGATAGTATTAAAGTAGTACTTTTATGGCGTACAAAAAAATATGTTGTTTAAGTATGACGATCAGCAATTAAACACATATTTGGTTTTGTCAGCGGTTTTCCTTGAAGATGACGAAGTCACGTACGCTAGGTGTAGGGGAAACCGTAGTCGGTACGTGATACGAGGGGCGTTCGGTACGACACGCGACAATGACTCATGCGCGTGCGCAGTCTAGATTGAAGCTGACTGTCGCTTTCCCAAACTAGAGATTCAGTTCCTGGATATAATCATGGAAATTTCATCAGATACGTAAATGTTGGTTCAGATTTAATAGATAGTTAAAAGAATTTATATCCGAGTCAAGATTAATAGAAATCTCGCTACCGGAATGCCTTAGGTTTATCTGAGACTAATCGAATTCCAGCGACAAACATCTAATGTTCCGGATCTCGTAGGATAATTTGAGCAACCGGTTCTTTAACTGAGCCGGGCTCGGCTGGAGGTTGTCGAGGCGACCTCGTGACGTCACCCATGACTCATACATACCACCGACTAACTTTCTACGGTCACGGGACGAACACATCTCGTGATGTATTCATATGTCATGAATATTAATGTGATCATCATGACAAGTTTTTTATTGAACGCTTACCGTAATGACGTACTTACTGATGTACGTACTAAAGATCGTGAGGTCGATGATGTCACTTACTGACGTCATACGCATAAGTCAAAGTGTTTATTGTAATGAATTAAAGGTTATTATTTAATGATTAAAAGAAAATAAATACAATTTATTCATAAACTTTCTATTTTTTGTAATATCAATGTTTCGTTTTTATTTTTGACCTATGTTTTGTTTGTTTCAGTTAATCTATATTTCTCCGATTTGGCTACTTAAGTAAACTACCGATAATCTCTTGTCCGGCAGCTGTCAAATCTTCTATTTATTATTTTTTCGATACCTAATCCTACGGTCATTTGTGTTCATTTAGCACATCTTCAAATATTGTTTTAGCTGCTGTATGTCTAGTGTCGGCGGTGACAAAGAAGCGGCGGCGTCTTAACGGCGCCGAGATTTGCAAGTATCGTCAACACTTGATCCCAAACCTCGCTAATGACTTACATGTGTGCGACATTTTTTCTAAAATTCCATAAAATATTTCGCATGCTAGAATATTTGCTTTAAATATTACGAAAGCTCATGCCTGCAGTATTTTGCAGTAGAGCATACGACAAATAATTCCCGAATTATTTTTACACGTTTTGCCAAATTAAATTGGCTAGAATAACGATAGTTTCATTTAGTAACGAATATAATTTGTTGAGAAAAATGGCAAGAAAATGTGTTCGGGATTTTTAAATTTCTGTCGAAACAACTCGACATAAGAGTACTGTGAATACAGTGTGAACTAACGGTCACTTGTAAAATAATAACCGCTATAAAACATGTTTTTTTCATACTATTAACACTATCTCATAGTCATCTTGAGAACACTCCAGCAAGACAATAGACAACGGAGACCGAATACACGTGTTAGTGAGCATTTCCAAGAAGCTGAGACAATGGAGTGGCAACAGGTACATAGACAAGTGCATTGCTTAAACAAAAAAGTTCTGCTCTTGAAACAGTTGAGACTTGAGTTCCCTAGGGTCGGGATAATACAATGTGGCGCCAACTTTTTTGCCACTCGTTACACGAGATTACATTCGAGGTGACGAACAAACTACATGCTGTCTGCCTTTTGTATGAACTGTCAAGTGTAAGGGAGGGTGGAGCGAGGACTGATTGCTAATTTAAAAGAAAAAATTACGATGCATTTACTTGGATACAATCTTTGTTTCTTTCATGTACCATGAGATTTGATTTTATCAATAATTTACACTTATTCTTATAATAAGATCTTGGACTTTCGCGACTATTCACTTAAATGAAACTAATATTTTATAGATTATACTGCGCGTATTTTATTATTGTAAAAACGAAATACTCCTGACGTTTGGATTATTTTTCAGCAACCGTGATCACAGAAAGACGAGATATTACACTGCACAGTAACCGAAATGGAACTCATTTAAACTTATTCTTATGGTCACCAAGCTATGTCAAAAATTTGTATGAAATTAATCTTTACAACAATTTAGTAAACATACTACATAAATAACAATTTTAATATTATTATCAATAGTTTACATAGATAACTTATCGTACAGAGTAATAAAATTATAAATGAAACAAACATAATGAGAAACCTCTTTAAAGAACTCTTGAACTAGCGATAAAAGGAATTGAATTCTTGGTCTAAGCTTATTTTCAGTACAAATAACAATAGAAGTATAAAGAGCCTTGTAATTATAAGTTATCTGTAAATACGGGAACACAATGGATTCTGTTTTCCGTAACTGTCCATATTATTCCTGGAACGTTGTAAAATTTAAAAACCCCTTTTCATGTCTAAGATATATCCACGTGCCGACAAACGGTTCCTTTCGGCAATTTAGTGTATTACAAAGGCCCTTTATCCATCTTTAGGGCTCATTATATTGAAGGACGCTAGAAATAATAAAACTCGCCAAGAAGAGCCGCTCTCATATTATGATGTGCCATTCTGAAAGTCATATTTTATTGTTGGTCCTTAATTTTATGGTATCCTTGTAATTTTATGATTTTCGAGTTTTACATTATATATAGATTTCTGTG